TAGGGTTAGGTTTAGGGTTAGGTTTAGGGTTAGGTTTAGGGTTAGGTTTAGGGTTAGGTTTAGCTTTAGCGTTCAAGGGGTGCTTTTTTCGTCGCGCTGTGATGACGTCAGGTACGCGGTTTCGTCGAGCGCACTTTAGTCGAACGCGGTTTTGTGGTGGAACCGCCCAGATCTGCTAGCATTAATGAGCAAAGGGGTATGGACTTTGCTGATTAGTGCTAGCACCTTTAAAGGTTAGAAGTGATCTAACATTATTAGATTATAACAATCTAATCTTACCACTTTTTGCCCAGCTGTCCTCCTGGTTCAGCCTTGGATATTTACATTCCTACATAGAAGGCTATAAACATTCTAGTAAAATATTCAATTCCATATGTTCTCCACCACCACCACCACCCACCCCCGGTACCTTTTTCTTTACAGTGAAGGACTGATCTGTGGCCAAAATAACCAGCAATTTTTGTAAAGCACCTCCTTGAATTGCTGCAACTTGCACTCTGGGGTTGCTGGGAAGAGAGAAAATAAAAACTCATTACAGTCAAAAGCACCTCAGCATCCTTTAAATCTTACTGCAATTTGGCTTCCATACAAAATAATTGTGTCAAGGTAAAGATTTTTTTTTTAAAAAAGCAAAACAATATATTGCAAAGCTGAAAATGAATATATGAAGCCCTGGAGTGAGAACCTACTGCAAAACAGCATGTACTGGATGTCGGTTTAGCTTCACAAGTCGCCACCTGCTGGAGCAATTTGACAAGATGAGGCAAACACAATGTCATTTGATGTGCAAGCTACGGATACGCAAAGTAATTCCTGCACAAATTGTTCCGCGCACAACGCACAGTTGCTTTTCTGTGGCTGATGACTGAATCAAAACAGATAATTTTGGTCCAGATAGTGAATAAAATAGGGTAGTTTGGTTCTGAATAGGCCTCAAATTGCTATTTTCTTCCTGCCAGTTTTTTTTTACTTCTACTTTACTATTTTACTTTTGGGGAGGAAAAAGTCAATGATGAAACAGATAAGGGTGAAGCACGAGAGAGAAGGTGCTGGGAAGACAGGATTGGGACCCTCCCTCCCCGCGCCTCTTCTATATACTTAGCAGCTTCCTCGGGCTGTTTAGATAAGTCTTCTTGGAAGCTACCAAACACCGGGGGGGGGGGAGGCATATGATCTTTGTTTTACACATTCCCTAGAATTCTTTGGAGGTTTGGCTTTGGCTAGTTTGTCTCCTATGGTCAGGAGCAAAAACTGACTTACATAAAGATCAGGAGTGGGTTCCGGCAGACACTCCTGCCGGTTTGCTTGTGAGCACGCTGTGCGTGCATGCGCAGTGCAATAAAAATTGTTCTAGGCATGCGCAAAAGCGAAAAACAAGATGGCGGCACCTATGGTGCCACCCAGAGAACCAGTTCAGGGGCGTGGCAAGCATGGTTCGCTGCCGGTTCCAATGACCCAGGACACCGAAGCACTACTGGTTCAGCCGAACCAGTAGGAACCCACCACTGGTAAGGATCCCTCTTCATTTTACCCTTCCAGTGATAACCGTATGAAGGTAGTTGGCCTAAAAGAAAGACATTAACTCAGTGTCACCCAGAAGGGCATTGTGGGACATTATCTTCAGCTCGAGATAGTTCCAATGCTAAGGAAGATGATCAGGTATGGAAATGTTTAGATGAACGTTGTAAAAGGAAGACGTCAAGACATCAAGAGGAAGATTAAGCTGGCCAACAATAGGGTTATAGAATTTGAGCTGCAAAGCTCCACCTAACCATGGCATGGCAACAATTTTCTTTCTGCTAGTTATGGTTCATCCAGAATGGTTCATCAGAACTTCTAGAAGGCAATGTGTGTTTCAGGTTTTAAAAATCTATTTTCCGTTCCACGTACATCTCTACAGGAAGGGTATGCACGCATCTACTAAAAACAGATTTAACATTTTTACAAACATGTCTAATGTGCATAAATGAAAAGAAAACTTGGTAGGTTTAGCATGTCCCTTTAATTTTTTTTTTAAAAAAGTAGTAATGCCTCAATAGGATTTTAGATCTTTTAGGTATGCAGGGCATTGTAATGCAAAGAGTCTAGTTTCATCTTCTAGGTCAGAATGGCACAAGATCAAAAATTACATCCTGCTGGACATTATCAGGAGAAATGGCCACTATAATATGAGAATTGTCAGATTTCTTCCTTTTCTTCTTTTGCTGTTTCCACATAAAATGATGTACATGTAACTCATATTCTGCTATCCTGAAACCATATTCCCTGAGCAGCTACTAGCATTAACTCTCCCTTAATAAGCTCGTCCTAAACTTAACTCTATATGGGGGATTAGTAATACCAAATCCTGATTTTGCTGTGTTAGGTTAAAAAGGGGAAAAAGAATAAGAATGAAAATTGCAATCATTCTTCAAGATTAGTGGGGCACAGATGAGAGGTCTCTATGATAGAGATGCTTTTGCGTTTCATAGACAGGAATAGGAGTTATTTCCATGTCCATCAACAACCAAGCCTAGACTATCTTGGCAGTAGAGACAGATTTTTACCTTTAAATCTGCCCAAGGACTTCACTAGCAGGATCAATGTCAACATCCTTGGCAAACTGGAAAACATGACTCTAGTATCTCTGCTGAAAACATGTTTGGCTTGTCAGTCTGAACTTCAAAATCTTAGTTCTGCCTCTGAGCTCAATTTTAGCTCTTTGATCTTGCTCGCGACTGGTAGAACTGTTACAAGAATTACCTGTATTCTATAGACAGCTATAGACAGAAATATCTTTGTTATGTTGGTGGGATGTTGCTATAATTTATATAGCACTCTCTATGGGCTTGGCACAGTGCAGACTTGTATTTCATGTGGTTTACAATCTGAATGTAAATATGGGAAATGGCAAAGGAAAATGATGGGAATAAAGACTGACGGAAATAGTATACAATTATTTTGACTGCATGCATCTCCCCTTTCTTACAAAAGATTATTTGCTATTCCAAAGGTATCTATGAAGAGACGCCTTGCGCACAGATTTGAGGAATAATATTGTATAAACAGAACTGGACAGGTAAAGAAGGCAGATGTCCAAGTTAAGAAAACAGAGTTTTCACATGTGAGACAAACCTTTGGAAAGTTTTAGAGGAGATACAGTGTATTTGGGGAGGGGGGCAGGCAGATTGAATGGAAAAGGACCAAGTATATAGAAACATTGTAGAGGAAGTTACAGTTTCATGATGGACTGGAGGATGATATTGTTAAGAATTAAAGAGACACTATTTTTGAAAACTTTACCTAAACCTCCAATGCCAGTCAAGATATAAAAGTGGATATGAAATAAAGATCAACTCCGAGCATGTTGTGAGATGCCACAATTATGCTGGCTTCTCTTCAAAGGTAGCACTCCTCATTTTCATTTGGAGGAAGAAAATGACAATAAGAAGCGGGGGTGGGGGTGGAAAGCCATTTACTACAACTAGCAGTGGCAGCCAGCGCACAGAGATAATATTGCAGTACCATAGACATATCAAGATAATAAACAACGGACGGGTATTGGAGAAAAGGTCAGCATAATCACAAACAGTAAAAGAAAAGAAACCACTGACATGATAAATGTGACCGTGAAAGATCATTTTGGCTGAACCTTTGTAGGCATCACAATAACATTTTTGAATAAAATGCCTTTTCCTGCATTCCAGGCACGGCTTTAAACAAGGTAATCTCTTCCCTCAGCTTCGTTTCACATGTTATTGCATTCATTTGCCCACTCGCATCTGTTGATTTTCCACGTCTCCCTGCCTTTTTCCATTCCATTAACATGATGATGTATTTAAG